CATAAAAAAAAGACAGACTAACATATTGGATTAGAAAATTGGACCCATCTTTCTGCTGCATCCAACAAACACACCTTAACATCAAAGACAGACCACATCAGGCTAAGTTTTGAAAAAATATTCTAAGCAAATGGACTCAAGAAGCAAGCAGTGTAGCCATTTTAATGTCTGATAATGTACACTTCAGAACAAATCAACAGAAATAGGGATAGAGAGACACTACATACTCATTAATGGAAAAACCCACCAAGAGGATACTGCAATTCAAAATATTTATGCAGCAAGCCACCAGAGTACCCAAATTCATAAAAGAAACACCACTACAGCTAAGATCACATATTGACCCGCAAACAGTGATGGCAGGTGACTTCACCCACTGTGTCTTGACAATAGGCAGGTAAAACTGAACTGAAAAACATTAGTTAAGTAGCATCATAAATTAAATGGAACTAACATTTCTCCCAGATACTAAAGAATATACTTTGTTCTTAGCAACTCAAAGAACGTTCTTCAAAATTGACCATATATTAGCATATAAAGCAAGTCTCAACTGATATAAAAAAAACTGAAATAATACCGTGCATCCTTTCTGGCCACCATAGATTAAGGCTGGATATCAACAGCAGTAACAGGAGAAAGTATAGAAATTCATGAAAACTGAACAACTCACTACTGAATGAAAATTAGATCAAAACAAAATTTCAGAGGAAAATTTAAAACTTTTTAGAATTGAATAAAAATGCAAACACAACATAACTAAATGGGATACAATGAGGGCAGTTTTAAGAGGCAAGCTCATAGCCCTAAGTGCCTATAGAAAAACTTTAAAAAGATTTCATATTAGTATCTTAATGACACACTTGAAAGCTCTAGAGCAATAAGAAAAAAATAACACCCAAGAAGAGTATGTGGGAAGAAATAGTCAAACTAAGATCTGAAATCAATAAAATGGAAACAAGAACAAACAGTACAAAGAATAAATGAAACAGAGATGGTTCTTTGAGAAAAATCAACAAGATTCACAAACAAGTAACCAAAAGATGGAGAGAAAAGAAGACATAAATAAATAAAACTTGGAGATAAGGAAGGGGACAACAGTCACTGAGGAAAGTCAGAGAATGTTGAGAACATACTTTAAAGGACTGAAACTCCATCAATCAGGAAAACTTTTTTAAAAATTCAAAAGGATGAACTGCTTAATATACATTAACAACCATGGTTAAGTCAGGATGAAGTAAGCAACTTAAGTAGATCCACAACCACTAGGAAAATAGAAGCAATGATTGAAAAATCTCCCAATCAAAACCAGGCTAGAGCTAGGCGGATTCAGCACAGAACTCGACCAGACCTTCAGAGAATGGTAATACTCCTCAAATTACTCTGCAAAAATAGAAACTAACCAAAAATCAAAGATCAAAAAAAATCATTGACAAATACACTATAGATGCAAAAATTCTCAATAAAATACTTGTAAACCGAAATCAAGAACAAGATTATCCACCATGACCAAGTTGGTTTCATACCAGAGATGCAAGGGTGATCCAACATACATAAATTCATAAACGTAATCCACCACATAAACAAACTGAGAAACAAAACAACACACACAAAGAAAAACAAAAACAAATGATCATCTCATTAGATGCAGAAAAGGCCTCTGACAAAACTCAACATCCCTTATGATAAATGTACCAGATAAGAGGGTCGTATCATAATAAAGGGAATGTGAAGCAAGCCCACAGCCAACACTATCCTAAACAGAGAAAACTCAAAGTACTGCAGCTCATCTTACAGCAATGAAACGACAGTAGGTAGTCAAGGGGAACACAAACAGGCAAGGAAGGTGTCAAAGTATCTTATTGTAGATGATATGAATGTACACATGAAGGATGCTAGAGACTTTATCAGCAAACTTCTATAGCTCATAAACACTTTCAGTAAAGGAGCAGGACAGAAAAATAACACACAAAAATCACCCGCTTTCCTATACAAAAATGAGAAACAGACTGAGAAAGAAATCAGAGAAACATATCTTTCATAATAAACCCCCCCAAAAAACTTAGGATAACTCTAAGCAAATAAGCAAAAGATTTGTATAGTAAAAACTTGAAGATGTTGGAGAAAGAAACTGAGAAAGATATCAAAAGATGGAAAGCTCTCCCATGCTCATAAATAGGATTAATAGTGTGAAAATGGCCACCCTATCAAAAGCAATCTAAAGATTCAATGCAATCTCCATCAAAATTCCAACACAATTTTCAACAAGTAGAAAATATTCAATTTCATATGAAAACATACACATACTTACATATACACACATACATATACACGCACACTCACACATACACACACACAAACAGGATAGCTAAATTAATTCCAAATAATAAAAGAACTATATGAAGTATCACCACCCTAGACTTCAAGTTGCATTGCAGACCTATAGTAATTAAAACAGCATACTATTGGCATTAAAAACAGGAATTGTACTAAAGACCCAGATGTAATTCCAGACATTTGGATTTTTTTCTTTTACAAAGAAACCAAAAATACACATTGGAAAAAAAAGATAGCATCATCAATAAATGGTGCTAGTCAAATCTGTATGTAGAAGAGTACAAATAAATCCAGCCTGCACAAAATTCAACTTCAAAGGGATCAAGGGCATCAACAGAAAACTAGATACTCTGAATCTAATAAAAGAGAAAGTGGGGAATAGGCTTGAAGTCACTGACCACAGGACACCAATGACACAGGCATTAATACTGACAATTAATAAATGAGACCTCATGATGCTAGAAAGCTTCTGTATGGCAAAGAACACTATCAATCCAGAAAAGCAGCAGGCTACACAGTGGGAAAAATATTTAGCAACTACACATCTGATAGAGGTTTAGTATCAAGAACTGAGAAAGAAAAAAAACAATTGAAAAATGGGGTACAGAATTGAACAGAGTTCTCAAAAGATGAAAACACAAATGTCTGAAAAACATAAACATTTAAAGAATGGTCAACATCCTCAGGAATCAGGAAACTAAAACTAAACTTTGTGATTCCTTCTCACCCTAATCAGAATGCTACAGTCAATTTAAGAAGGATAGCAACGCTGGTGCAGATGCAGGGAAAGGGGAATACTCACTCAGTGCTGCTGCCAGGAAGTGCAGACTGGTGCAGCCACTACAGAAGTCAATGTGGAGGCACCTTAGGAAGGTGAGAACAGATCCCCCTTAAGATCAGGATAACTAACCCACTCTTGGGTACATACCCAAAGGATTCTACACCTTACTACAGAGATATCTGCTTATCCACGTTCACTCCTGCTCTACTCATAATGGCCACACACTGGAAACAGCCTAGATGTCCATCAACGGATGAAAAGAGAAAATGTGGTACAGTTACACAATGGAATATTAATCAGTTATTAGGAAAATGAAATTATGAAATTTTCAGATAAATGGATAAAACTAGATATAATCGTCCTGAGTAAGGTAATGTGTCTCAAAAGACAACCTTTTGAGCTTGTGATGTGTGCTACAATCCGAATAATCACAGAGGTTAGGAACCTAGAAAGAGACTTGGGGGTGGGGATGAGGTGTAAGGTGGGGTCCTCCCAAGGACAGGAAATAGAACAGTGTTAGCAGAGAGATAAAGGGGAAATAGAATAGGAGAATTAAATGGGGAAGGAGATGGGAGGGAAGGATGCAGGAGGATCTATAGGGAGGAACAACTAACCCTAAAGGTCTTTTGAAAAACCAAATGGATAGAAAAAAATGTGACCAAATATAGTATATGAAAAAATGTAATAAAACAAATAAAAATAGTCACTTAATACAGCAGATATACACTGGAGGCAGAACGCAGGGCCAGCTGACATTGGAACAACGGGAAAAAGATGAGGTTGCTAGGCACTCTGGCAGGACACGACAGATTATATCTCATACTCATATAAGATTTAGGATTCTTACTTGATGACAAACACTGCACAGTTAGCCTAATGTGTAAGAAAAATCCAAACTTCAGATAATAAGAGCATATGATAAAATTGCCACAAGCATATTTAAAAACTCTTATTACTGATCAACAGATGGAGACAGCTTTGTTTCACCAAAAGACAGTAGACTTTACACTGAGTCAGACCTGAGTCCCAATCCTAATTTTCACGCTTATACAAAATATGCAAGTTCAGTACACACAGCTTCCAGTACCTCAACACAGTGAAGAGGGGATTGATTGTGCAGGACTAAGGGATCCTGCTGTGAGGGTCGTTACGGTGAAGATTATGGGTAATTCCTAGCATTAACGAGAGTACACTCTTGACATGTAAACAGACACTGCTTCCAGAGCAACGCATGACACTCTAGCTTATCTAAGTCTCACACCAACTCCAGGAGGAAGTTACGATACATATTTGCAGACAGTAACATGGAATCCTTAACCATGTCAGAGTGTTGTCACTTACGTCTAGTAGGACTAGAAAATGGTACTGTTTTTCTTTGCCAATATATGCTGGGGCTTTCCCAAAGATCGTAAACAACAGGCCAAGCAGGAAAAGAAAGGATTCAGAAAATACCTATGGGAAGTGAGAGGGGTTAGGAATCAGCAGGGTACTCCACTTATGCTTTATGTACAAGATTCCACCAGGACATGAAAAGTGTCCCTAGAAATAACATTCTTTGTGTTTTGTTTTCCCACTATCAGCTTCCATAACTGTCCCCTGTCAACCTAGTCCTGTGTACTCTTGAGAATTAAGTACAAATCAGGGCCCATGCGGCCTTACACTGGTTGAATGCACACTGAATAATCACAGAGTGTGGAATAGGGGTGTACAAAGTTCTTCATGCTGGGCTAGGGTATAGTCTCACTTCCAGAGCAAGATGCTAAAGGAAATACCACCACAAAGAGAATGAGAGGCCAAACAATTTCATTAAGTCCAAATGATGCTGCCTCAAGACCTAAAAAAAAAAAATGTTCTCATAGAAAGTATGACAACAATGGACACTTACCTAAGATGAGATGAAGCTTGGTCTCTGTCTGGAAAGCATAGTGCAATGTCACCAAAAATGGCGACTGTCTAATGTGCTCCAGAACCTGTCGTTCTGTCCGTGTATGCTCTGTAGTTTTAGCCTTCTGAACTATTGTTGCCTTTTTTAACACTTTCATGGCATACAGCTTTCCAGCATCATGGCCGCTTACTTTACGAACTAGAAATACTTTCCCATAAGCTGAAAAAGAAAACAAAAAAATTGCTGTAAGCTGAAGAAAAGGAAAAAAATTAAAATGCTACATTGGCAGAATAGTATTTTATGGAAATAAAACTAATGCCCCCAGCCAACACACACAAACACCCATTCAAGGGAAAAGCACGCTTGGTGCTATTTCAAATAGTTCTTTGATAATTTCTTCAGCCTTTTACCAAAGCTATTTCTAGCTCTAGCCCTCAGTATTTACACATCTAGCCACTGCTGATCAAGTTCTGCTTTCACTCCAAATGTTATCCTCTCCTCAATATGTTTAGGTTATTTTATTATAGTCAGCTAACCAGCCCAAGTCAGACATCAGATAAAGCACTGGAGTATACAGGTATATATTTGCCACTGGATCAATCAATTTCTCTCTCTCTCTCTCTCTCTCTCTCTCTCTCTCTCTCTCTCTCTCTGTGTGTGTGTGTGTGTGTGTGTGTGTTTTTCCTGAAAGGGTCTCAGTATGTTCCCCAGCCTGGCCCTGACATTATCTCCTTCTACCTAAGCCTCCTAATGTCTGAGATTCCAGTGAATATCATTATTTCCAGTCTCCAAGAGAGTTTTTTTTCTTTTCTTTTTTCATATTCATGTGTGGTACACATATATGCATATTTGCATGTATGTGAACATGCTTGTTCGCATGTCTCTGGAGGTTAAAAGTTGATGTTAGGAATCATCGTTGATTGTTCTTCCACCTTATTCATTGAGACAGACTCAATCAAATCTAGAGCTCACCAATATGGCTAGTTTTGTTAATCAACATGCTCTGGGAATCCTCTGTCTACCTCCCAATCTTGCTGGAATTACAGGCACGTCACAAAGCCAATCAATCATTTTTGTGGGTTCTGGAGATTCAAACTCTGGCCCTCACACTTGCATGGTAAGCACTTTAACCTCTAGACAATCTCCCAGTCCTCCAAGACAGTTCTTAGTACGAATCTAATAATTTAGATAAGCAAACTACTTCAAGTATTCCTCTATATCTATTCTTTTAGAATCAAAGCAATATAAAGATATTATATAAAACAAAGGAGGGCTTTACACTTAACAAATATTAAAATACCCAGAACTGAAGGCAAGACAGAAGCCCCTTTAAATCTCCAGGCAGAAATGACTTATGGCTTCCTGGGTCAAACTCATCATGTGTTTCATAAATAAAGACTGTGGGAGGCACAATCCTGTATATGGTACTGCTCCTCCAGGTTGAAGAATTAGCCCTGTGGACAGAGTAGCTTCCCTGAATCTATTTCCTCAAGGAAGATAAGGAGGGAGAGGAAGAAGGAGCAGGAAAGGAGATGAAGGAAGAGAGAGGAGGAAAGGGTGAGGAAGGCTTTGAATTCAAATGTATCTTGGAGTGCTTATGCTCAATTCCATTTCAGGAGCTGAATGGTTTAATGAGACCACTCTGAGTTGGACCCAGTTTTGGTCCAGATCACTGCTACTATAACCTTGCTAACAACTCCCTGTATTTAGTCCATAATTCTATTATCATCTACCTACTAGAGTAAGAAAGCTTTATGGGAAAGGTCTCCACTCTGATTCAGTTAAGAACTAGATCAGTACCAACACTTGATATGCCATGCATTAATGCTAAACTAGACTAATCGTGAGGGAAAGATTCCAACCCTTGAGAGAGAATAGCCCATGGCAGGCCCTCAGCTAAGCACACCTTTCTATATACTGACTCACTTGGTCCTCACCACAGCCAGTGAGGTGGTACTCTCAGGTGTCTTATTGCAGAGATAAGGAAATAAGTTCATAGTAATTAATAAAACTGGCCAAAAGACTTGCTCTAGAGGAAAGATAAACAAATGATCAAGCGTGGGGAGAAGAGCTAGTCCCATTCCAGTGTATGGCCTAGGCTGGCAAGAGTCCTCTATCCCCAGGGTACGGCTCACAGCCAGAGAAAAGGGCTCTATCCTATGGCTTCCCCCTTGCTCCTTACCTCTCTTTCTCCCTCTTAGAAGTTCCCAGGATAATTATGGTGCCAGTTATAAGAGAGAAAAATAAATTAATTAAAGCAGCAGCAGCCAATATCGCCCTGATTCAAATGCAGAAAGTGTGATTCTTCCAGAATCATTCTATTGGTAAATGAGTTAAAAAATCAAATTCTTCCTGAATGCTAGGAACCTGATTTTATAGATTATAATAAAACCAGTGCTACAAAACATTTAGCATATTCCGAAGAAAAGTTTGTGTTGTACTTAAGTATGTGTGATAATTACAGGTTGAGATCTCAGAAAGGCTGAAGTCAATCAGGAAAGAAAATTACAACTTTCAAGATCTAACAAATCAACCTAAAGAATGAAGCTAGAACAGCATAGTTTGTACAGCAGCAATGAAACCAAGATAGAAGCCACTCTAATAAGATATACTTTGTCTTCCAACAGAAGAAGGTGCTATACAATCTGGGGAGGAAATAAAGTCCTTTTCGGGCAATCCTGGTGCTTCCATGTACCTTACGTACATACACAGGCCCTACCACCAACTTATATTCTCCCAGATGTCAATCTCTAGAATGTCACAGTGCTAGAAATTATGTAATCTAGCTAGCATCTGGAAAGTAAGAATCCTTTCTGTGTCACTGAAACACCTTCCTAGCACACCAGATTTGTTTGCAACAAAACAAAAGAATGTGAATCCTGTGGGAGATGCAGGCTATAAGCACCCAAACCCGAGTACTTATCAGAGCCTTTAGACACATTAACTCTTTCAGTTCTTAGACCATCTTCCTAAGATGTACTGATGAGCATCTCAACTTATACAAGAAAAACCTCAAGTGCAGATCAATTGTTCAGGCATTCATGATTACACTTGTCCATTCAGCCCAACTTCTAGGTGTGCACTCTTAGATCTGCTTCTGTTGATTCCCTTAAAATGAGTTATCTCATCTGTAAATAATAAGATCTCAACGTAAAACTGGATACACTAAATCTACTAGAAGAGAAAGTGGGGAACTGCCTTGAACATACTGGCACAGGAGACAAATTCCTAAACAGAACACCAATAGCTCAGGTACTAAGATCAACACTTAATAAATGAGACCTCATAAAACTGAAAAGCTTCTGTAAGGCAAAGGATACCATCAATAGGGCAAAACAGAGCCTACAGAATGGGAAAAGATCTTCACCAAACCTACATCTAACAGAGAGCTAGTATCTAATATATACAAAAAACTCAAGAAATTAGCTACCAACAAACCAAATAACCGTATTTAAAAATGGGGTACAGAACAGAGAATTCTCAACAAAGGAATCTCTAATGGCTGAGAAGCACTTAAAGAAATATTCAATGTCCTTAGTCATCAGGGAAATGCAAATCAAAATAACTCTGAGATTCTAAACTATACCTATCAGAATGGCCAAGATCAAAACCTAGAGTGTGATGGTTTGTATATGCTTGGCCCAGGGAGTGGCACTATTAGAAGGGGTGGCCTTGATGGTGTAGCCTTGTTGGAGTAGATGTGTCACTGTGAGCATGGGTTTTAAGACCCTAATCCTAGCTGCCTGGAAGCCAGTATTCTGCTAGCAGCCTTCAGATGAAGATGTAGTACTCTCAGCTCCTCCTGCACCACGCCTGCCTAGATGGCGCCATGTTCCTGCCTTAATGATAATGGACGGAACCTCTGAACCTGTAAGTCAGCCCCTATTAAATATTGTCCTTATAGGAGTTGCCTTGGTCATGATGTCTATTCACACCAATTAAAACCCTAATTAGACATCAAATGACAGCACGAGTTGGTGAAGATGTGGAGCAAGGGGAACACTCCTTCATTGCTATTCAGAGTACAACCACTTTGGAAATCAATTTGGCAGTTTCTCAGAAAACTAGGAAAAGTTCTACCTCAGGACCCAGCTAGACTACTCTTGGGCGTATAACCAAAAGATGTTCCACTATACCACACAGGGACACTTGGTCAACTATGTTCATAGCAGCTTTATTCATAGTAGCCAAAAACTGGAAACAACTGAAGAATGGATAAAGAAAATATGATACGTCTATACAATGCAATACTATTCAGCTATTAAAAACAAAGATATCCTCAAGTTTTCAGGCAAATGGATGTAACTAGAAAAGGTCATCCTGAATAACACAGACCCAGATAGACACACATGATATGTACTCTCTTGTAAGTAGATATTAGCTGTAAAGTAAAAGATAACCGTGCTACAATCTACAGACCCAAAGACGCTAAATAACAAGGAAAGCCCAAGGGGGCAGGGGGGAAGATGTTTGAATCTCACTCAGAAGGGGAAACATAATAGACAGAGGAGGTGGATGGAGGGAGAGAACTGGGCAGGATAGGGGTGGGATGGGAAGGAGGGGTGGTAATCCAGTATGGGGGACAGGGGTTACAGAAGAAGGCTGGGAAAGAGAACAAAAATCATGGGGGGACATCCCTGGGGCAAGCTAGAGATCTGGGATGGGGGGGGCAGGGAGTCTCTCGGGGTAGACTCCTACCAGCTGGGGATATGAAGACTAAATAGGCCACCTCCTGTAGCCAGGTAGGCCTTCCAGTAGAGGGAGGGGGTACCAACCCACACACAAAACCTTTGAACCAAAAATACGCTCTGTCTCCAAGACATGCAGGGATTAAATGTATCAGAGAGTGAGGGAATGGCCAACTTGTGACCCACCCAATGGGAGAGAGCCAACTCCTGACACTATTAATGATATTCTGCTATGCTTGCAGACAGGAGCCTAGCATAACTATCTTCTGAGAGGCTTTAGCCAGCAGCTGATGGAAGCAAATGCAGAGACCCACAGCCAAACATTAGGCAGAGCTTGGCAAGCCTTGTGTTTAAGTGTTGGGTTGTAGTGTGCATGAGACCTATTGCTGGGTTGACGTGTGGGTCCTGCATCTGTCTCACCACGGGGCTAGGGCCTCTTGTGAGGACAGAGGCGCAGGAAGTTGACTGTGTGGGTATCGAGCTATGTGAAGCCGCATGACCCTGCTCGTGGAGCTGGAGTTCTCAGGCTCT